AGCCAGCCCTGCTGGCTGGAGAATTCTGGGAGTTGAAGTCCACACGTCTTAAAGTTGCCAACGTTGAGAAACACTGCATTAAGGTATGAACTTCAGCCAAAGGTCTTGTTCAGCATTGCTAGCATGCATCTTTCACCAAACGTGCTGGAGCTTCTGTATGTAATATGGAAGAAAGTTTGCTTTATGAGTTACAATGAAGGAAAAGCTTTATATCAGAGCTAGGGCTGAAGGTAGTCAAGGATACACAGTATAGCTCCTTTGGTGTTCTAGTAAAAATAAAGACTGTAGCCAGATGATATGTCTGACTGGCCAGCTACCACCCTGAAATAAATGATGATCAACCCATTTATCTGACAGCACACAAGCACTGGTCAAGCAAGGAACAGGCCTCTCTACTGCAAAGATTTTTGTCAATCTGGCAGCAATCCAGCTGTGAATTGCAACCAGGTGCAAGCCGATGCTGAATCACAATCAGAGTCATATAAAGAACATAAAATCTGTAGCATCATTACCACTCCTTTCTGCTTCTATTTCACTCTCTCCCTTGTGGTCACAGGGAGCTCAAAAAACAAAGCAAAAAGACCAACAAAAAGAAAAGAAAAGAAAAAGAGTGGCCCAGGTTTTGTAGGCTCCTGAAGAATGGGTTAACCCACTTGTCCCAATCTGTGTAACGTGGCTGATCAGGGGAAGTTAATTTAGCCCCAAATATCCTTGGTGCTGAATGGGACTAAAATCCAGCAAATCCAATTAGTTCATATAGTACTGTAAGGTTTGTAGAGCTGAATCTCAGAAAATCCAAAACCAGGAATTCAGGCAGAGGCTCTTAAAAAGAAAACAGCGCTTTATTTGGCCAAGTGAAGCCGCTGGGTGGGCAGCAATCCCAAAAGAGCGGCGGCAGAAGGTGCTGGGAAGCTCCACCACACCAACAAGATTCCCAAAGCAGTTTTTATAGCATTGCAAAGACAATAGATTGCAACTAATAAGGCAGTTTCAGGCAGTTTGAACCAGTGTCCCCCCCTTTATCCTCAAGACCTTTTCCCTGCACTCTCCCCCTTCGAGGTCTTCTGTGTACATGTCCTTCAGGCAGTTTCTTCCTAGCGCAAGCAAAATATAGAGGTGAGATAGCAAGAGCCAGGCTAAGAAAATTCCCCCCTCCTTCCTGAAGAATGGTTAACCCACTTGTCCCAGTCTGTGTAACATGGCTGATCAGGGGAAGTTAGTTTAGCCCCAAATATCCTTGGTGCTAAATGGGACTAAAATCCAGAAAATCCAATTAGTTCATATAGTACTCTATCCTGCACTCATAATCCAGGGATTCAAGCAACAGGCTAAATCATAAATCATGGTTTATAGAATACAAGTTAAACCATGCTTAACACAAGCAGATCTCATTATGGTGTGGTCCCCAATTGGAGGCAGGTTTTCCACTGAAAGCCGAAATTAATTGTAAAATTGAGTAACATTGCAAGGTTAGCAGAGACCAAGGTTTTGTCCCAAGAGAAAGAAAATGCAACTTAATATTAGCCTGTAATAATAATTAAAATACTGAATTTAGCTATGACCTAATTATCTTTGTTCTTCAATATGCACTGCTTCCTTTCTTCATTTAGGACTTTGTCCAGCTTTGAATTTTCATTCCCTTTCAACGTCCTTTCCCTTGCATCTTTTCTAATACAGAATTTCATCTGTAAGATTTAAAATTGAGAGATTTGCATGGTTCGAAGATCAATTTCTGAATGTGAAAGCTGCATTTCAGCCATTACCATGTGTACATGCTGCTTTCTCAGGGGGGAAAAAAAAAAGATTTATCCCAAAGTTCGGCTGTAACTATAGTAACACGAGCTTGGTGTGCTGCAGCTGGCAACGTTAAAAACGGGCAGTATCGAAACAGAAGTATATATTTTATTTCTTCTTGAAGATAATGTTCTCCAAGTCATTTTGTTCCACAATAATTAACTCATGTAGTTTTCACACTTGCTCCTGTAGTCAAAAATAACTCCATCCTTATGTAACCTTTGAAAATTGTATTTCTCCTGAAGTATATCTATCTCTTCTGCTCAGTGAATCTGTTGAGGTTCTACTGTTGCAGTAGATCTAAAACCTTTGCTTTTTTATCCCTTGCGAGATGTCTCCTACCCATTTTGAGCCCTAGATGTATGTGGGTCCCAACCACCAATTAAGCAGGGCCACTGGTTGCCCAGGGTTTTATCTTTATCTTTTATCTTTTCTTTTATTGATTTGATTGATTGTTGAGAGCCACCCAGAGTCATTGAGAGTCGGGCAGCATGCAAGTTTAATCAATTATTATTATATTGTCAGTCGCCCAGTCAGCCAGATGTTTAGACTGGATTTGGCATTTTTATCCATCTATCGAGTCCTTCCCAAGGACCTGGGATAGGCAGATGTTGTCTGATGGGGTTAAAGGTATCATCGCAGGATGTAAGCTGTTCCAAGTCAAGCTGCCTTTTGCAATGGACTGATGGTGATTTTGTTAATGCTGACGGTCTTCAAGTAGTGCTCCAGATGTTTTGGGATTGCACCCGAGGTGCCTATTACTATTGATACTATCTTTGCTTTCTTTTGCCACAGTCGTTCTACTTCTGTTTTCAGGGTATTATTATTATTATTATTATTATTATTATTATTATTATTATACAAATCTAGTCCAACACATTTTCCTGCTGCAGTGAAAAACTAGATGGGGCCTACACTGGTTCCATATATAAAGCTGTCTGGACAGCAAGTCAAATTTGTCTTCAGCAGAGACAATGGGACATTATCTTCTGCTGAGGGAGATGGGTGGCATACAAATTTAATAGATAGATAGATAGA